GGCATTGCCCTTGCCTTGGAGAGCAAGGTAGAGCCTGTCTTCATGTCAAACCTTGTTCTTTTCTTCCTGGCTTTGACAAGAAGATATCATTTGTCCTAGGGAGTCACTCCCCAGGCCAAGAGGGGGCTCAGACATGGAGCACAATATGGCAAAGCAGCACCACGAAAGTACATTCCGGGGGCAGTCCTGAATATAGCAAACCCACCACCCACCCAGGGACATCCAACAACCCACCTGGCCTGACAAGAAGTCATCTGCCATGCAGCGACTCCATCACCTGCAGAAGATAAGCCTCAGCCAGTTTTTGCTTTGGCAGGATCCATCCACACCCTGAAATAGGGCACAACAGAATATGAAATCCAGATGACAGGAGGATCCACATCTGCTCCGGCATTGCACAATTGCAAGCTGGACTTGTGTTCAGGTTGTGCCAAGCACACAGGCCAACTTGCAGAAGGAGGACAGGTTTAAGACCATGAATTCTGCTGATTTTATGAGACAAAGATCTGCCCCTTCCCACAATACTGATCCTTCCCCAAAATTATATACTATATATAATAATTTTATACATATACACACACATACCTTGAGATACTGTTATTATACCATGTCATTATATTCTTGCAAGATTTTAATAGCAGGCAACCAGTCTGTATGACATGGGTTTTATGGGGGCTTTAGTCTGGGGGAAGTAATTCAGTAAGTGTAAATTGATAGTTCGTCTGATGGAAAGCCAGACTAACGTAGGTGAATATTTTTCAACTAGGAGATAGCTGTGGGTGGGGAAGACAAGCCTTTTATCTTTAAACATTTTTTTTTTAAAAAAAAGCTTTAAACATGATATTTTAAGAAGCACCCAAGTGAGGGGAATTTTTAAGGCAATTTTAATAACCATTATGAAAACATCCATTTTTCTATGGCAAGCCTGGGTGGTGTTAACCCAGCCATTACCTACAGCTGGATCCTACAAATCAAACTCATGTTGGCTTCGTGGGTCACAGCAGCTCCTCCATGTCACCTTATACTCCACCTCCCTCAGATCTGTCCCCTTTCCATCAGCAAAGCACATCGCCACCTCCAGCCCCCGCTGACCATCAGCCTCACCCCAACCCAGATCCCCTCTGCTCTGCTAACACCAGCCAGCATTTCTCCAAGACCACCAAGCCCAGTGATAGACAAATCTCAAGCCATGATTTCCCCACCCTGTCCATGCCAGGACAGGTTCAACCCTTTCCCCTTCTGCTGTGGAGCCCTCCTGTGCCAAAATCCCAAACTAAAAGAATAGGATTTTGCCTTTCCATATCATCCACCCTGAAGCTGGGTTTGGAGACAACCAGCTAAAAAATTATGCCTAGCCAACATTAAAAAAATACAGGTATCAGCCTTGTGCTTTGCAAAAGTAAAGTACACACAATACCACAGTGTCTGCAAAGAAATCCCCCAACACATAATTTTCTCTTAGAAAGAGCAAAGGCTTTAGAAAGACAGCAAAATTTGCACACAAGAACCTACCCTGCTGTCCTTCACAAGATCATCTCAAATCAGGCCAGGCAGCTTCCTAGGGCATATCTTCCCACCTCCTCCCAAACCCAGGCAACCTGTGAATCCTCCTTGTATAGGGTTTTACCCTCCCTCCTGCAACACCTTCACCTGGTGACTCACTAATTACATCCCAAATGAGCAAGCAGGCACAGATGAGATACTTCTCCGGGAAGAGAAGACCTTGCAGCTCAATTCAGCTTATTTAATTCTCCATGTAAATCCTTCTGCAAGTTAGACATTTCTCCAGCCTTCTTTCTGTGCGTTTTCAGCTCACATTTGAAGCAACAGAGGACAGATATGGGCTCAGAGATGTTTTGTAATCAAAATGTTATTGTCGAGAGAAAACAGAGCCTGTGCAGTGATTAAAAATAAGTCTTCATTTTGGGGAGCAAGGGAAAACCCTCAGCTGCAGGATGACCAAGAACACAGTCCCAAGCAGTTTGGGGCAGGCAGGCTGCCCAGCACTCCATCCCAAGACATGACTGAGTGACTGGAATAAACTGGACACTGCTGAGCTGGGGCTGCTGCAGGGTTTTGCAGCAGTTGCCATTCATAGGCTCGGGTGCCATGCTGTCCTGTCCTAAAATAGAGCAAAACCCCAAGCCAACCCAAGAAATCCTGGCTGTTCCTAGGGAAATACAACTTGCAAAATAAAACCCACAAGTTTTCTTCACACAGTCATACCATTTTAGAAAATTTTCCTGCAGGTTGGACTTGGAAAACATTTTATAGCACAGAACAGCAGAGCAGTGACTGATGAAGGGCAGGAAGGAGAACAGCTTGTTTTGAACATCTCAGACAATGAGTTGTGGATCCCCATCCCCAATTTGGTGGCATCAGCACATATCCCTAGAATCTCTCCATGTCAGGGAGCTGTGATGAGAGCAACTTATATTGGGAAATACCCACCTCTGCCTTTTAGGCAGTCCCAGCATGGAGTTGCCCACGGCCCTGCAATGGAGGGCTGGAGTTCACGGTGAAGTGACAGTCCAGGTGAGAGCACTTACAGGGTAACCTGGCCTGCAGAAATGTTTTCCCACTCCTGTGGTTCCCCTGCCCTGGAGGAGGATGAATGCCTCCCAGCCATGCTCCGCTCAGGGAGCTGAGATGGCAATCAGGGATGTGAAAGTACCAATGAGGTCTGCAGTGCACTTCAAGCCAAGAGCTCATGCATTTGGGAAAATGTTTTCCTAGTAATCTGGCTGTCCTGGCTTCTCCAGCTCTCCTTCGATGCTAAGAGCATAGAAACACTGTGGGCAGAGAAACATGAAGCAGAGTTTTCAGGTAGTACAAACACACATGAGCCCATGCAGACAGCTGGCAAATACACAAACCACTTTTTCTCTTTTTCCCCATCCTTTCTACAAGATCCCTCCTTGTTGTAAAGAAGGTTGGCTGGTGTCTGATCTCCCTTTTTCTTTTGTCATTTTGGCTGAGAGTCATCTCTGCTGCCTACAGATGTCTACAAGTTGTTTTTTCACACTTGAGCTAGTCCTGCACAGTCCTGTGCTTGGTGAAAAACCCCAGCAAGCCCCCTCATTGCCACCTTGGATGGGAACCAGAGGTAAGTGTGTCACCTTCCAGATCCACCAAACTCTGTCCACTGGCCATGGAGGATCCTCAAGGGCCAGTTCAGTCCCAGACTAGAGAATATTTGATATGGAAAACCCAAGGAGCAGAAGCTTCCCCTGTGGTCTTCACTATACTCTACCCAACACCTTGCCGTCTTTGGAGATGATTCAAACCCTTCCTTCTCCAAGTCAACAGGACACCCCATGCAAGAAAAGACCAGGCGCTTTTTTTTTCAGAATTTTTTTTTTGTCTTTTTAATTTCATCTTGGTACGTGATTTCTGACAGTGTGTCAGCATCTCCCGCTGAGTCAGCCATCTCCGGACCCCGCTACATTCAGTGTCAGATCATACGGTGGCGATGAGCCAGTGTTGGAGCCTCACAGCCACTTGCATGTCTTTACAGGTTGTCGCTTACATCGTTTGTGAACAGCAGCACAAAAGGACACAACGCATGAAAACGAGAGTGGGGATGAGGTGAGGGTCAGCTGAAGGCTTGACCCTAAGGAGAGCTTTCCCCAGGTTCCCGCAGCTCCTGCAGAGATGAACCAGAACACATGGTGGGAAATGCAGGACTCTCCCTCCTTCCTCCTTCACCCAAGGGGTGGTGATACGGGCTGCGGTTTTCCAGAGCCAGGACAGCAGCTCATGCTGGTCTAGCACCCATATTTGAGGGTATGGGACGAGGTCGCTGGCGGAGGCAGGCTGGGTTCTGCCATGGGAAGGAGAGAGGTGATGCAGAGAAGCATGGCTGGGCCCCGGTGGGCCAGGATGTCCACCAGCTCCAGCAGCGTTGTCCACCCTGCACCAACCTCCTGGACACATCCAGCAGTGGTGACAGGTCCTGGCCACCGTGCTGTCCCCACCGATCTGCTGGCGGAGGAGCAGGTCCCTGGAGCCAGCCCTGCTTTGGGTTTCAACTGCACCTCAAAACCAGTGGGGCAACCTGAGAGCACCAAAAATAACCAACCCCGAAACCCAAACCTATTGCCTGAAATGAACTGATGTTCCTTCCCTGCCACTGGGCTTCTGCAACCTAAACATAACGTTTATAAAAAGTAAATTATTTCATCTTATAACTTAAGTGCATTGAGTATTTCCTTAAATATGGTTCACGCTGAAAATAAAGTTACTTTTGCTGTACAGTAAATTTCTGATAGACTTAGAAATAAACTTTGTTGATACAATCTGGCAGGTGTGGCTGTGCAGTACACCACCCACAGCCACACAGCTCTGCATACACACACGTGCGTGCCCACACACACACACATACACACACAGAGCCCCGTCCCTGGGGACAGGGGCGATGTTAGGGGTTTCTAGCTTTCTATATTCGCATGGGAATATCTATCTTAAAAGTCCCTGTGTTTAAACAGCGAGCGCTCAAGCTGGTTGGGGGAACAGAGGGAAAACCCCGCAGTAAAATTTTCCCAGTGTTTCCCCAAGGTGTAGTCAGCTTTTCAAATTTCAAAGCCCAGCTGATGCTGTGGGCTCCCCCCATGAAAATCAGCAGTTTGCTCTTTCCACTGCTCGGACCGAAGGTGGTGCAGAGGGGATACAGCACCAGGATGCTCCCGCGGGAAGGGCATCCCCCTCCCCCTGCCTTTGCCCCTGCTGAAACGAGAAATTTGGTTCCCCATCTGAAATTTGAAAACCTACCAGCCAGCTGCAAAAATCACTCCTGTCCCTAATCCTAGGCTCCTAAGAGAAACATGAAACTATGCAACCCATAACTTAACTCGCTCCTTGGGAATCCCAAGCTACAACATATTGTTTGACAGCATCCCAGCAGTGTCGCTTCCCCCTCCCTCCCAACCCCGGGGGCTCTGCAGCCCCTCCTGAGGCAGCACGGCGGCATCGGCTGCCCCGTGCCGGGGACCGTGCCACGCTCAGGAGGTGAAGTAGGAGTTCTGCATGGAGTAGAGGTGGTCGATGGGGTTCCCCACTCGTGCCTGGAGCGGCCCCGCGTCCGCCGTGGCGAGGAAGCAGTCGCCCAGGTTGCTCAGTGAGGTATCATCGCTATCCAAGTCGTGGAAGAGGGGCTCAGCACCTTCGGAAGCAGGGAAGGAGTAGAAGGGCTTCAGAGCCTGCTTTCTCCTCTGGCACTTTTACAGTGCCCAGCACCCCCAGCTTTTGCAGTGTAAGGATTTAGGGAAGACGGGACTCCTGTCTTCCCAGAAATCACGGCATCCCTCACGCGTAGCCCCACCATACAGCCCCCAGCCACAGCCCAGCATCTCTTCGATGGAGAGAAGGCAAGAGGCAAATCCCAGAGCCTTACCGTAGGGGTGCATGTGGTCTCCAGGCATCTGTGGTGGGGTGAGCCCTTGCCGGAAGGGGTCGGAGCCGTAGACGCTTTGCTCCATGCCCAGCAGCTGCTGGGGTGGGGGCAGAGCAGTGTAGGGGTTCAGCATCCCCTCCAGCCCTGTGCTGCCCCCACCGTTTGTCTGGGCTGGAAGACAAGAGCAAGCCGTCGGCGCAGTCGGGCCGCTGCTTTTTAGGGGGCCCAGCTCCCTTGGGAAGCCCGGAGAGGGCTGGGAAATGGGGAGACCCTGAGTACGGGAAGGGCTGGGTGTGAGGGGGGGTGTACCTGAGCTCAGGCGCTGTGTGTTTTGCTGATCCTGCTGCTGCTGCTGCTGCCTCCGGGCGAGCTTCTTCATCTGGGCAAGATCAAGGGGTGAAAAAATGGGGTGAAATCATACCCCGGCCAGAGGAAGGAGGGAGGGGAGCCCTGACGCCAGCCGCTGGTGGTCGGCTACCCCCGCGCACCCACCTTTGCTCGCTGGTTCTGGAACCAGACCTGCACCACACGGACGCTCAGCCCCGTCTCGGCCGCCAGTGTCTCCCGCACCTTGGAGAGAGGAATGACATCAGTGCCTCAGTCCCCTCAGCTTTCCAGGAGCTTTAGGAGAATACAGAGCAGCTGAGGCAAGTGTGTACTCAGCATCCAGGACATCCTGGGGGCTGGAGGTGGCTGAGCGCAGGACCTTCTCCCCATACCTTCCTGCACGGCTTGGAGGAGACCTCAAATGATGCCTTGAACGCCCTCCGCTGCTGCGTGGTTAGGATTGTCCGGGGTCTCTTGGGACGCTTGTGATCCTTCCCATCCTCAGCACCCTTCCCTGAGGCTTGGCCCAGTTTGCAGATGCTGTCCTCATCATCACTTTTGCCTGAGGGGGAAAAAAAACAGGTCCTTTACAGACAATGGACACACAAATAATTTTCCAGCATGCCCAGAATAATCTGAGAGACAAGCTGGTGGTATTGGTGGGGATCTTCTTGCGACTGTGTGTAAGGAGCTGAGGTTTGGGGCTGGCTGAGCCATGACAGCTCAGACAGGGGAGAGCTGCTGTGGTTCATAGTTTGGGGTCGCTCAGCCAGCAGATGTGCTTTTTGGTTCTTCTTTTCCCCAACAGTCTGAGCAGCTGCAATGTGAAACTCTGGGACACTTGATTTTCCCTCCATCAGACCCAAATCCCTGCCTGCTCCATCTGGTCCCTCTGCCCGGACAGCCCAGGCCAGGGGAGGTCAGGCTGGCGAGCGAGCAGAGATGCTCCAAGATGGCAACGCGTTAGCCAAGACCTCACAAACCCCTCCTGATTTGCCCTATCATGGAGGTCAACTCAATTTAGAACACAGAGTTTTAACCGCTAATATAAGGGGCACCTTTATGCCTATATTTCCCTGCTTCCGTGGAGTTTTAAATCTCCCTAGGTAGAAGCCCAGGCTGCTTCAAACTTCACCCCCTCGGGTGCTCGCTGCAATGTGCTGCTCCGTTGTGTTCCCAGGCACTGCTGTGTATCTTTTTGCTGCTCTCCACCGCTCGGGGCCACGGGGCCTTTGGGCAGGAGCGGCTCCAAGAAAACAGGCAGCACTGCCCTGCCTCTTACCAGCCCTCTTCATTTACCGCATTGCCACCGTGTCGATGACCTTGCTTGCGTGGGAGGGTTGTAATGCAGGTTTGACAGCACAGGTCCTTCCCTCTCATGAGCCGTAAATCACTTACAGCCTTTTCCAGAAAGCTCTTCCACCATCCTTTTGGGACTCGATAACGGAGCTGACGTGCTGGGTTGATGGAGATGCAGGTTGCAAGGCTGTGCTTGGCCCAAGTCCCATCCCGGGGCTGCTGCATCTCCAAGAGACTGGGATGCACCAGGGGGTTGTGAGCCTGGCCCAGAGTAATTCGTGGCTAAAGCAGGTCAGGTCCATACCCCATTGCAAGAGCTAATCGTGGATCACACAAAGCAGAAAAGTGTAAATCCAACTGCAACCCAATTGGAAGATGGTGAAAGATGGAAGCAGACCTCCGGGACAAAAGGAGGCAATTTTTCCTGTGGAGGAGCAAGGATGCTCTCGGGTACCAGTTACCTTTTCCCTCTGCACTGCTGGGCTCTCTCCTGGGCTCACCAGCCAATACAGACACCTTCCCTGTGGCGAGGGCTGGCAGGGGCGGGACATGGACAGATGTTGACGCTGGTGGTTCCCAAAACAGTCTGGAGCTGGGTGCTGGCCCTCAGAAGCCAGCGTCTTGCCACTGCTGCTCACCCACAGCACATCCATGGCATGCCAACAGCAGCAATGGCAACGGGAAAGATAAACTGCTGTTTTCTTGCACGTCCCAGTGTGAGAGATGTAGCAATGCAGAAGGTCTGAGAGCCCCAGTGCTGGGGAACCCCAGGGTGTGGAGTCTCTGATGGCTAATGGGGCTGAGCAGCGGCTGCCGCTGCCTCCTTCTCAGTGCCAGCACAAACAGTGTGTCTGCTTCGCCAAGCCGCCTGCTCTCCTGAAACCTGAAGGAGTTTAATTTTGATGGAAGGGTAGAGATTTTTTACAAATACTGGGGGGAGGAATGTCAACCGATGGAGACATTTCGGTGCCTGAACCCCTCTGCACCTTAACATGAGGTGAGCACCCAAATCCTCCTGAGTCCAGGAGGGGCAGAGCCCAGCAGGGGGGAGCCAGACGCTCATGGACTCTATCAAGCAAATGATGCTCAAAACCCATGCCAAGCAGGAAAAGCACACTCCCAGCAGCCCCCCCGAACCTCCCCCCCAACACCTGCTCCCCAAATCCCTTCCAGAGTCAAAGGGAAAGAAGGAAAAGCGAAGCCGGATTTGGTGGGGTATTACTTTTAATTAACTCTCCCTTTCAAGCCTTTCCCCACCAAGGAGGGGGGAGAAATTAATGAGCGTCTGAGGCTGCCCCTGACGTCACCTGGGAAGGGGCCGGGGCGATGGATATTGTGCGGCGTGCCCTCGGTCCGACCCGCCGAGCCCGCATCCTGCCGCCGGGGCCAGGACATTCCTCGCTCGGGAGGATTTAGGGAGAGGAGAAACGTTAGGACGCTTTTAATTGGAAAGCGGGGTCCTCTTTCAGAGGGGCTTGTTTACTTAGGCTGGGCGGCGGAGGCTCGGGGGAGGCAGTAATTGAAGCGAGGGTTTGGGAGATTACAGACAACATATGGCTCGCTTTTTATCTGCGCTTTCTCATAAAGTGGCCTTTGGTGCGCAGCGGCCGGGGGGGAAGGGAGGACAAGGGGCTTCAAAGCAGCAAAGTGGGGGACAGGGGAGAGGCTGGACACGCACATCGCATGCTGCTGGGGAAGGGGATCCGTGACCA